GGATCACTTATGGTCGTGAGGGTAGGGCAGGAGCCCCAACAGAGAGGAGCCGGGCATTTCAGTTTCAGAAAAGGGAAGGTCAGGACTACAACAGGTGATATTGCGAGTATGTTATCTTTTGCTTTCTTTTCGGTTATCATCTGTATTTATGTTGTTGGAATTTTTGTATCGGTTAGGGTAAGCGTCATTTATGGTTTAATTGTCTGTTATTGATTGAGTTGTATCATTAATAATTGTTATATGCCATTTTCATGCCATGAATTATTAGTGGTTCAAAGAGGGTTACCTCTTGTTGAACGGGTTTCAGTATGTTCGGTTGTTATTCTGTTTCTTAGTCGAGATCAGCTCAGGGGTATCATGTGGAAGGTCTATGGTCAGGTTCAACGGGTTAGTTCTGCAGTATCGTTAGGGTTCCGTGGTTTTAGCTTTTGTGCTTGGTTGGACCCTGGGACTGCTAAGTGAAATGGAGTATTGCTAAGGTTTTGGTCTTGTCATCAGTGTAAGGACTTCAAGATTTGGGTGTTGTACCATCGGAAGCATTTGGGGCTATCAGATTGCTGAAATTTCGGGGAGTATTCATCTGGTCTTCAAGGGTTGTGCGGTCTTTGGGTTTGGCTGGTAATGGAACACTAGCATTGGTAAGTGTAGGTTGTCAGCGGTTCGATCATTGGAGGGTAAGATGGATTGGGAATCCTTCAAACCTTGTGTGCTGTAAGAGCTTACTCAAATCAAAGTGGGGGAGAACCGTTCGAATATGCGGGAGCGGAACCAGGCGTGAAAAAAAAGGATGAGTTTCACACCCCCGTCGGGGAGGAAGGCGGCCCAAGTGGCCGTCTGGATTGAGGATTGTGCGAGTTGGGAGTTCAAGAAACTTCCCAACAGTTGGTTAGCGCCTTCTTGGTGATGGATACCAGGCTTTTGGTGGACCCAGGTTGGGGTTCCAGTCATGACTCGAGTTTAACTTGGGTGCTTGGTCGAGTGCGTGTTCGACTCTTGATGTGTTCGGATTGATAGATGAGCAGTAAGACCATGGTCGGTGGCTATGGCAAAGTAGAAGTGTTGTAAGACTGCGGGGTGGCCCGTAGCATTCACTAGTCGGCAACTAGTGTAGAAGTGTTGTAAGACTGTGGGGTGGCCCGTAGCATTCACTAGTTGGCAGTTAGTGTGTGAGTGTTGTAAGACTGCGGGGTGTCCCGTAGCATTCATCGACCCTTATGCAGCGGTGAGGGTGTAGCAAATCCATGATCGGTCATGGATTTCTTCATATGGATTAGACCAGCGTAGGTCAGTTCATAAGGATGTGGGAGGGCCACAACATACTTGGAATCAGGAAGTAGTAGGTCATTGGAGACCGGGTATGATATAAGACTACAGTTGGTCATGTAGCATTCATTTTTTAGCATTGGATCTGGTGACGAGATGGTTTGGGCAATTATTGTCAGATGAGGTTTTCTTTTGGAAGTCGCGTGGGGCAACTGTGTGTGTGTGCCTTTTGTCTCAGCAACCGGGCAGGAGTTCGGTGTTTCAGTTAGTTGGTAGACAAGTTTATTCAGGAAAATACTAAGTAACCTGCAGCTTGGATTAATTAATCTTAGAGTAATTTATTTGACCATGTTGCACAACTCTCGTTGGAGTCTAACCGTTGCGGGGACGAACCTCCTACTCGAAGGATTATTTGAGCCTTCTGTCAAGTATAGGTGTTCTGCAGCAGTATTTGGTCAACGATTTTGGGTTACCGTTGGAAGCATCAAGATAATCAAGGGTTAGAAGCGTTTTGTTTGGTCTAGAATTCTGCGAAGTTTTGGCATGGTAGTGGTTCAATTAGGGCGGTCTGTTGGGGAGTTAGACCAATTTGAGATTTCAGGTTTCAGAAAGGTAGAAGTGGTTTTTTTTTCTGCTTGGGTTTAAGGATTCACTCTTCATCGGGTTGGAAGGTTCTGCTTAGGTTGGGTTCGGTTGCCTTGGGAAAGCCGTTGTATGCTCGAGGTTGTGAGTGTGCCCCCAGGCCGTCAGGCCGTCAGGCATGCTGGGGATGGTATGAAATTACTTTGAGGACGAAATCAAATTTAAGTGGGGGAGAGTTGTAACACTCGGTTTCGAATTGCTTCATTATTCGGGGCTGTGGCCCGATCATTAGTTATCATAAGTCTAAGGGCCTTGGGGAAGAAAGGATTTGGCCCTTTTTCGATGTGGGTGCTATAGTCTAAGTGACCCGAGTGTTCGATGATGTTTCGGAGCCCAAGGGTATAATCATCATTTCTTAACTCGGTCCTTGATGAATTTTGGGTTCTTGTTCGGTAAGTTTTAAGGCGAGGGTGAGTTGATAGAAGCGTAGGGCTTCTCGTCACCTTTCCGTAGATATAAAGTTTGTTGGAACGGACTTAGGACGAAGGAGCTAGGGCTTAGTGAAGTTTCTAAGTGTTGGAAGGCCATCTAGTACGCATGGTGTACTAGATGTATACGAGGGGCGTAGCCGGTAAAGTGGTCGTGGGTGGTTCATGAGTACGCCGAGCGTACTAAGGGGTATGTGGGGCATACTCCCTTCAGCCATAAAACCCTAATTTTGGTCTTTAACCCTATTTAAACCTCATTTCCTTCATGAGCCTTGTCTTTTATTAGCCTCTAAGCCTCCTAAACCCTAATAGTCGACCCCTAGCCTTTATCTTGGAGCTTTTAAGCCACTGTGAAGAATCTTGGAGTATTTTTGAGCACTTTGAAGAGTTTAAAGCTTGTTGGAGAATCATCATCTGGAGGTGAACTTGTAGATCCAGAATTTTCTCATCTTTTGCAATCCATTGAATGTAAAAAGCTTTGATCTTGTCTACTCATTTCATAGATCTTTTCTTGGGATTGTTTATGGTCATTTTAGCTTCTTTTGGTGGTCCTTGTGAGCTAAGGTTGTTTAAGAGGTTTGATCGTGTGGATCTGGACATTTTACATGCCCCAAACGCATAAAAATGTGATCTTTATGGTTTATTTGGACTCATGCATGTGTTAAGAACCTTCATTAAGCTCTTTTGAGCTATAGAATCCTATTAAGCCATGCATGCAAGTAAAGTTGCCAACTTTACGTGATAAGTCATATATGGGAATCATATTCGAGAGTTTGGAGCAAGGACTTAAGTGATTAAGTGCTTTTTGGAGTGGTTGGGGATTTAGAGGAGTACGTTGGGCATACCCATCTGGTACACTGCGCGTACTGACCCCAAAGGGTGTACGCTGGGCGTACCAGCTGAGTACGCGGGACGTACTCGGCCAGGTTGAGTTCTCTTGAATTGTTGACCTTTTTGGACATTTGACCATTGACCAGGAGTTGACTAGGGTTGACCATTTGATATTTGGGCATTTGATATTTGGGCATTTGATATTGACCCTTGTCGAGTTAGGTCCATGATGGATTTGGGCCCAATTTGGATATTTGGGCCTTGTGGTGTCATTTTGGGTTTGGGCAATCTTTTGGGTTTGGTTGCTTGGAGCATTGTTCGGCCATCTAAGAACAAGTGTTTTGGAATAAGGAAAAGTTAGTGGGCTTTAGTGTAAGGCCCATGTAAGGGTTTGGGCCCGATTTGGAAAATTGGGCCATAAGTGAACTTTGGGTGATTTTGGATTGTTGGATTTGGTTTGGAACCCAATTGTTAATTGGGTGTTATTTGTTTGATAGCGCGAGGATTCTAGCAAGATCAACAGTCAGAGATTTATTTGTGGGTTCAGTTGTCGAGGAGAGTCTCCTCAATATACTATGGGTCGAAGGCACCAATGTCGGCCCATTTGGTTTATGTATATTAGGAAGACCAAGGGTGGCCCTTGGCATTTGAATGAAAGACCAGGAGATGGCTCCTGGCAATCTGTATGCAAGACCAGAGTTTAGACTCTTGCAGTTAATTAGATAAGTAGTGGTAGATTGTATGCTGATTGTCTTTGTGATTCTTTCATGGAAGACCATGAGGTGGCTCCTGACACTTGTCTGTAAGACCTAGAGTTTTGGACCCCGACCTGGCAAGAAAGACCATGATACGACTCGTGGCATAATGACAAGAATATAGTTGGCACATAGCACCTCCTATTGCATGTTGATATGTATGACTCGTATGTTATGTATGGTATGTGGTATTTTGGAAAACCTACTAAGTTTTGTGCTTACAGTTTGTGGTTTATGGTTCAGGTACTTCCGGTTCGAAAGGGAAGAGTCCGACTTGATCGCAGCGCATACACCCGTGTTTTCCGCAACTTGTGATTCTGGGAATGTACTATGATAATTGTTTTTATGTGAAATACTTCTAAATGTTTGAATAAAGGATAAATGACTGTTTTGATTATATTAAAAATGAAAATTTTATCCTGTGATTTTCGGGACGTTACTAACGATCTCTAAAAATAATCTTGATTTATAACGTTAAAGTATGTCGAAAATTCATGTTTTAAAGATTATCAGTAAAAACTCTTAGTTCTATAATGTATGTAACTTGATTACTCTGATTAAGTGAACCACTTAAATCCTTATGTTCTTGTTTTTATTTTTTGCATCTCTAATCGTCTAGAAATTTTTTGTGTGCATTTATTGAAGCCCTTAATCCTAATAGTTTTGTCCTTGATATTTGTTTGATGATTTGTATCTAATTTTTTACTAGAAAGGAACTCTCGTGTATTTTCTAATTTAATGCTAGTGGATTGGTTCTTTGTTTTTTAGGAGATTTTTGCATTAGTTTATTGTTTGCTGGAATTTTGGAAATATAATCCTCTAACATTTCTTATTAAGTAAGAAATGTGAACATTGTGATGATTTACCTCTTTAATGTTAATCAGATTACCAAACATTTGGTAATTCATTGTTTGGGTCTCTCTCAACATTAAAGAGGTAAATCACAATGTCCACATAACAAGAAATGTAATGCACTATGCCAGGACTTGCACCTTTAAAGCTAATACTTTATCTATGGATTCTGTAGGACAACCATGTGAAAGACTGCTTCATAGCAGTTAAAAATAGTTATATTCTAAAACGATCCATAACCTTGGTCGGTTGAAGAAAATAAGTAACCGAACTACAACTTTCTTTTCAATAAGCTAGTAATGGAGTAAGCTTAGAAAAACTACTATACTTTAGGATACATTAACAAATCGTAGTACAAGCTATCAGTAGTTAGAAGGGCGTTGGTGGTTGTGAATGCCCTCGTAGGTTGTGATTACATATCGTGCATCCTCTACATCCCTTTCAACTCTCTTTTTCACCGAACATCCTGCTGCTGAACAACGATAATAATTCCTGTAAATATATTTATACAATGTCAGTAAATTTCCAACATGAACTATTAGTTTGTGTGAAATTACATAATTAACATGTACCTTGGGTTTGGACTGTTTTTAACCATCTTTTTGCCATATTTCCTCCACTTAAAACCGTCATCTAGGATCTCAACTTGGGATTTAGTTTTGAAGGCGACTTTCTCTTTTTTGCCATTTTGAGCCTGCCCAAATCCTGTGGCCCCTAGTTACAAAAAGAACGCTTATTAATTAGATACTTCATGCTTGTAAATAGAATAAACACCCCCCTTGCACACCCACCAACATGCTATACATTTAATATGGTAAAGGTAAATTGAAATGTCCTGAGCAAGAAAAGAATAGTCATGAACCCGACAAATAATATGGATTCTTTATCTCCTTACATTTAAGACAAGCTTAGCCAGGGATTTGTTTTTTCGTGTGCAAGTGTATGTTCGTGTTTGTGGATTAATTACATCTGACATAAATCACTAATTAAAATGGTCAATAACAATAGGATACATATGTTTATGCAAAAGGGTTATATTCTTGTAGTAACCCTACTCTATTACCACCCTGCCACAAAAGCATCGTGTGAGATGAAAATAAGTAATCTAGATAGGGGTGGATCGTATAGAAGGGAAATAAGTAATCTAGATGGGGGTGGACGTATAGAAGGGGAGCCCAATGAGCATTGGAGTTGAAACTCAGACACTAAATTTACTGAGTCTTGAACCCTCGATGGTTTTAGCAAAGACCACCCTAGATCGTTTTACTTGTGTGTTATTTAATATACGAAAAAGAATTCATATGATGTTAAGATCAAATGAGTTTACTTACTGTTGCTACTTCCATGAAGATGGATGTTGCTGCTGCTACTTCCGATCGACAGACCACCATCTTCAATGGTGGCAGAGGGGTAAACAGGAGCATGATGTTGATATTCAGGAACAGTGGATGCTTTATCTTCAGTTATCCAATCATCAAAGCTGAGAAAGCTCTCAACAAACTCATAAGTTTGCTGGTTTGGAACATCATAGTCCATGTCAGGCGAGTCTACTGATCTGTAACTGTAGGCTTTAGACATTTGATGATCATAATCATTCATTTTGATATGCAAGTTGAGGGTTTGCTGTTCTTGATGATATATCATCTCTAATGGAGGTTTCGTAGCTACCTTCCTAGAAGCGTGAAAGAAGGTTCGTAGTGTGTTATGTGTAGCGGTGGCAGTGGAGGCTGCTATTTAAAAGTTTGAAAGCCTTAATATTGGTCCCATGAAAACTATTGAAAACGATGGTTATGATGTTAGTTTTTGCATATTATTATAAGGAAATAGAATTAGGAAGCTGTGTAGGAAATTGGTAAATTGATGGGAGTAGGATGATGCTTGTTTGTAACTAAGGTCATGCGTCACCTAAGGCAACAGCATATAAGCACTTAAGGATCCTGTTTCTCAAGCATTAATACAGAACATGACAGCTTTATATTGTATTTGTTCTGTATGTATAGACTGATGTCAATGGACAACAACTGTAATTTTGTGTCGCACCCAAAAAGATGAACCAAGGTGAAAGAACGACTCGTGTTGTGCAAAAGACGTGAATATCCTTCTAATAAGAATAGGCTTAAAAAGCTTTTATAATCTTATCCCATCTAGTATGCTTATGTTTTATCCTATATAACAAACACAATCTAGAAGTCAAATATACTATTTTTGTAAGATTGTTATTGTATAAAAAATAATTAAGTATGCTTAAATATTATAAAAGAAAAAACTAAAAAAAACTTTGGTGCAAGATAAGCACGTTAGTATAAAAATGGAACTTTGTATTTGAAAAGTAATAGGATTGACTTGAAAAGTCAATTGTGAGGAAAGACCGAGGGGGAATAGACTGAAGGTGATGATAAAGGAAGACTTGTGAGTGGACTTTTGGGATTATTTTGTGGCTTGTAACTCATGCTATAGACCAACCCTTTTGTAACGCCAACCAAGGAATTATTAAATTATCTTTTTTTTGGTGATGAGTGTGTATGTAGGCTGATTGTCAAAGACACATGCAACTTATCTTTAAGATTTTGTAAAATGAATTTGGTTTTAAAAAAATAGTTACTGTTCTCTGTAATGTTTATATCTTTCTAACCTCTAACTACAATAAAAGCTTATTAACGAAGATTTATGATAATATTTGATTAAAGGTAGTTTCTGTTGAAATATCTTTTTGTTTGATAAAATGAAATTGATTACGACTGAAAGAATTTGATTCCTTTCGTTTCAAATGATATGATAATTATTTATATATTTTTAACCACCCTTTTTCAGTACGTTTATGATTTTAATTAACATGTCAATTATTTAGGAGATTGTTTATTTGAATTGTTGTACATGACAACAATGGCAAACATATGTTAAGTTTTGGTGGATCACTTCACCTATCTATTATTTTTTTTTATAATAAGATATATACAATTAAAATTAGTGACCTATCTTAAATAATTTTAGTGAACTTTCCTAGTAGTTTAGACATAATAATAATAATAATAATAAATAATAAATAAAAAACATGTATAAATCTGATTTTTACAGCCCATATTTTACAGTTGTAAAAACATATCAAGATATAAAAACTCGTCAACTACTATTGTTTTATTTGTTTCATTTTCTATCGGTTTTATTTAAATAATGAACCATATGGTTTTGGGTTCAGACTCATCACCGATGACAATGATAATAAATAATTTTAAATGTTTGACATTTATTAAATTAAATAAGAAGCATTTGATAAATTATTTTAGCATCACACATATAAGCATATTTGTCAAACACCAAAAAATAAACATCAACTTATTGTGTTGTGGTGTCGGATAAAGTAATCTATTTTTTTTTAAAATTTATTTTGATATCGGATAAACTAATAAACACTTTATAAAAAAACATAAGTTGTTTTATGTAAACTAGGCAAAATAGCCATGTAGTCTTTTAGTCTTATTTGGCTTTTAGTAAGTTAATTTGGTTATGTCTAATATTTTGTTTAGTTGCAAAAAGTTTATTAGCATATTTAAAGGATGTGTAACATAGAACTAAAACTATATTTCATATTAGTTGTGAGACACATGTATTATATGAGTTAATTTTAAAAAACAAGTTAAATATAAAGGTCTAAATAATTGAGAACTTTGAATTTAGAAGAAAATCAGAAAAATAATTAATTATTAAAATTGAAGTGTTTTTTATCTTTTAAATTTAAACAAATAATTTAAATAAATAAACAAGAGAAACCAAAAAAACTTTAATTTAATGTTTTTTGAAATTCGAAGGTAAACTCATTAATAAAACTGATCTCCATTTACTACTATATTTATTATAACTATGACATTAAAATATTATATAAAATTTAATAAAATAGGAAAACCCATAAAATGACATGTGGAAAAAAAAACTAATTCAAAATTATCACAAATTAACATTTGTCAAATTGAATGAGAGCATGTCATGTGACAAAAAAGTTCTTTATTTATTAGGGAGGATATCTAAATTTACATATGATACATTAATTCCACACAAAATTTTATAATTACCCTTTCTTGTTTGCAAAATAATGCATTTTGAAAACATAAATGAAAAAACTCATACTACTGGTCTTAAGATTTCGAAAATTATATGAATGGTTCTTGGACCAAATCTAAAAAATTAAATTTTGGCTAGCTAGTTTTTTTCTAAGTGACCAAAATGCCCTTGGATCAAATCTAAAAAATATGTATATCTCAAGAATCAATTCTAAAAATTATATATATATATATATAATATATATATATATATATATATATATATATATATATATATATATATACACACATTTTATTTATTTTTAACAATTTGATAATTTATTTTTATTTTTATTTTTATTATTATTATTTTTTTATTACATGTTTTACCTTTTTGTTTGTTTTTTTTTTTTTATAGTTTTAGTTATTTATGGTTTTTCTAATGTTTTTATTTAGTTAAATTCAACTAAATGAACTTAAATTCGGTAAATCATGTTGGAACGATTTTCTTTAATTTTTCTTATTTGTGAATTGAACCGGTAATTATTTTTTTTTTTAATTTTATGTCGCTACAGTTAATGTTTTTTCATTTGGACACTCCAACAAATAACCGAAGTTGTTATTTTCATTTATCTAAAATAATAATTATGTAACACCCCAAAAATTTCAACAAATTTAAACTTTTAAAACCAATCCACAAACCATCAATTGTTTACAAAATAGTTTTCAAAACAAGTTTATTATAAGAGTTTTCACAAAATCATAAAACAAAACACGATGATGTGTGATATTGACATATTTAATCATATAATTCATGCATTATCTTAATATTTTATGTTGCATTTGTGTTATTTATTGAACAAAAGGTACTTAATTAGTTGAAAATTCTTTTGCAGTAGCAAATACATGCTCGAAAGGAAAAGGAAGCGGAATTGACAAATGGAAGCTCAGATCTTGGATTTTGAAGAAGAAGATGAAATTTAAGAAGAACACGACGTGTTATCGCTAAACACAGCGTGTTGCATTGGAAATTCACGATGGAAAATTGCCTTTTCAGACACGCATTTTTAATGAAGAACACGACGTGTTGGCTCTTAAAACACGCCTTGTTGCACCGTTTTTCAGAATCTATATTTGGATCGTTACTTTTCAAAACCCGAACTGATGCTAGAGGTTTTATCGATTTTTGGAGGCCAGAGACATCCCAAGGGAGTTGTGGATTACAAAATTCGACTAGAAGCTTGTTCTTGAAGAGATCAAAGGCAATTAATCATTACTTTACCTAATTCTTTTGTTTGCATCATGTTTGCAATATTTACTTTCGTTTTTATGATTGTTTTTGCTGAAGTCATGGGCTAAAAACCCTGCTTTCGTTTAGAGTAGAGGATCTTATGACTATGTGTTGATTTTGTGGTTTTGAATTATGTGGAATTGATTATTTATCATGTCAAGTTTGTTAAAAGAACCTTATGTGTTAATAGGATTATTTTATGTTAATTACTAAGTAAATTGAGATTATATAAACATCTTCTTGATTGTTTGTCTCTTATGATTTTGTGACCATCAAGATTATAAGCCTAGTGTTGTGAACATAACCTAGGGTTAATAAGAAAATAAGTAAATTGATGTATGATCTATATATGATGACCAACCATATATGAATTAATATAACCAACCAAATGAATTAATCACCATTACAAGTCTTGCATGATTCGAACTTAATACTAGTAACCTTATTAGTTTAATCAACCGATCACTGCTTGAATTGATTTGTTTGCTAAAGGATTAGTAATAGTGAACATGAACCTAATCATATTAGAAATCGGTAATTGATGACACATTAATCCATTGCACTTGCCACAAAATCAACCATAGGAGTAACTTAATCGAATCTAAACGGAAGTCTCTTTAATATTCTTAATTCTATCGTCTTTTTTTCTTCAATTAGTCGTTAACTGTTTCTTTGCTAAGTGTTTAAGTAATTGTATAAGTTTGTAGTATTGTAAAACCAGAAACCCCCCCCCCCCTCTTTAATCATTGTTTAAATTAGTTAACATTAGTAGTAGTTTTAATTATTTTCACCGTTTCCTGTGTTCGATACCTTACTTACATGCACTAAACTACTATTTGATTAGGTACAATGCCTATCTTGTGTTGGTTTTTTGTTTAAGTTAGTTAGGATTAAAACTAGTATATTTCACACGCATCAAGTTTTTGACGCCGCAGTCGGGGAACGGTTCTAAATGGTTAATTTTATTTGCTAATTGTTATCGCTTTTCTTTTCTTTTATTTGTTGATTAAATTTATTATTTTGTTTAATTTTAATTTTTAATTTTATTGATTATGTATTTTCCAAATCTCGATGCTCTTGATGCTTTTCTTGAGGAAGTGGTTCAGGAATTTGAGCAAGAAGATGAGGAATATGACTAAGATGAAGATTTGAAGAAACTAGGAAGATGGTTAGATAACATCTTGCGTAGCAAGCAAGAGCAATATGAGTTACAAGAGTTAAAGTTAAAAGATGAAGAATTTAATCCAGAAAGAGATTTGGAGGATCTGGAAAGGTTGCTAGCAGATGGGTCAGACGAAGAACAAGAACAAACTGAATTGCAGGAACCATACCGTGTTTTGACCATTACCACGACGGGGCCCTGTATTTCTGG